CCAGGCACTGTCGTGAGGGAGCTGTGTGTCCGAAAACTTCCGTCTTGTAATGTATCGTCAATACGGGCCGTGGTTGAGGAATATTCCGAACTGTTTACGGGCGATGAGGATCCGTTTGGCTTCTGCCCGTGGATTGAACACGAAATTCCTCTGTCATCAGAACGCTTTCGACCTTATGGCCCCCGTCCGTTGCCGCTCCATCTACGGGAGGAGGTCCATAGACAGATTCAGGAGATGTTGAAGAATGGTATAATCGAAGAAGCCAACAGTGCGTACAATTCCCCAGTTGTGCTTGTAAGGAAGACGAACGGAAAATACAGGTTTTGCGTGGATTTCCGGCGCTTGAATGAACTGACCGTAAATCGGGTTGTGGCTGTGCCTTCGGTTGCAGAGATTTTCGATTCCCTCCAGCACTCCCGATACTTTACTGTGTTCGACTTGCGTTCCGGATATTGGCAACTACCTATCAAGGAGGAGGACCGGGAGAAAACGGCGTTTACGGTTGGGGACATCCAATATCAATTTAGACGAATGCCGTTTGGTTTGTCCGGGGCACCATTCACATTCCGGCGCTTGATGCTTCGTGTAACCAAGGGACTCCAGAATGTTGCCGTGTACGGAGACGATATCGTTGTGTACAGCAATTCGGAACCAGAGCACGTAGTTCACTTGAAGGCTGTGTTGGAGCGGATCCGGGAAGCTGGCCTGCGGATAAATGAAGCCAAGACACAGCTCGCTCGGAGTTCGGTGACACTGCTGGGGCATAAAGTGGGTGAGGGAGAAGTTAGCCCACTGCCCGAAAAATTAGCAAAGATCAAGGATTGTGCTGTTCCCAATTCAAAGCGGTCTCTACGGCAGTTTCTTGGACGAGCAGCATACTACAGCCGGTTCGTTAAGGATTTCAACAAGATCGCTGCGCCACTGTACGATTTGCTCGGTCAAAATCGGAAATTCGAATGGACCGGAGAAGCACATGAAGCTTTTGAGCGTGTCAAAGCGCGGATGTCGGATCAGCAACTGACCCTCAAACTTCCCAGGGTCGGAGAGATGTTCATTGTTGCAACGGACGCCAGTGATCGCGGTATCGGCGCAGTCCTAAAGCAGAGGAATGGAGTTATCGAATATGCCAGTCGCGTCCTGACTAACGCTGAACAGAAGTACTCCACCATTGAGAAGGAATGTTTAGCGATCGTCTGGGCCCTGGATAAGTGGAGACCATATCTGCTTGGGCAAAGGTTTCATGTCGAAACCGATCACAAACCCCTGGAGTGGATCAGGACCACCAGAGATCCTCGCGGGAAGCTCGCACGCTGGGCACTCCGGTTGCAAGAGTACGACTTCACAATCCAGCACGTGCCCGGGAAGGAGAACCACTTGGCTGATTGGCTGTCAAGGCCAGAGGCTGAAGATGAGGTCCCCAAGATCATGATTGGAGCCAATGGCCTCGTCGTCGAACTGGATCCCGGAAAGTTGGTGCAACTCCAACGGCAGGATCCGGTGTTACAAAAGGTTGCAGCCGCCTTGTTGGATGGAAGGAACATTGAGAACGGAGAAGGAGACAAGGAATTAGAAGCGTTCCAGAGTCACTTTGATCGGCTGAGGCTGAATGAAGCTGGCATAATTTCCTGGAACGCCACTGATTCAGATGTGGTGCTGCCCGTGATACCTCGCGTCTTGAGACGGAAGCTCATCGTTGAATGCCATGAGATGGCACATACAGGGTGCACCAAAACATACGACCTACTTCGGCAGAGGGCCTATTGGCCCGGGATGAGAAGTGAGGTGATGGATTATGTGCTGTCTTGTAAGCGTTGCCAACTAATGAAAGCGGATACGACAGGGGCAACCCATCCCATGGAACCCATTCCTGTCTCAGAAATAGGCGAGTTATGGTCAGTTGACGTCATGGGCCCCTTCCCGGTGACAACCAGTGGGAACCAATACATCGTGATGATGACAGAACACCTGTCGCGATGGATTGAGGCGGCAGCCGTGCCGAATCAGCGGGCGACGACGATCAGCGGAGTGGTAATGCATCACATTGTGGCCAACCATGGGGTGCCAAAAATGATCCTAACCGATCAGGGGCCTTGCTTCGAGAGCGAAGAGTTTCGTAATTGCTTGCAGAAGCTGGGTATCAGACGGCTAAGGACGGCACCATACCACCCGCAAACAAATGGCCTGACCGAACGTAACAACCGAACGATCAAGGAGTGGCTTGCGGCCAAAGGAGGTGACTGGGAAATGAACTTGCCAATGGTGTTGTTAGCTCATCGTGCTTCCACGCAGTCAACCACAGGCAAGTCCCCGTTTATGTTAATGTACGGTCGACATCCGCGCCTTCCGGTTGATCAGGAAATTGGGTTGTGGCCGGCAACACGCTTGTCTCCGGAGGAGCTAGAGGAAGAAAGAAAGAGAGCTCGAGAAAATTTGACCGCCGTTCAGGAAAGGGCTAGGCAGAAAACGGCAAGTAGAAAGGTCCGAACGTTCCCCATAGGCACGAAGGTCAAGTGGAAGGATCACCAGAATCCTGGAAGGAGTGGACTGGGGTCGCGGAAGCTGGGCAGTCGATGGCAAGGGCCGTTTGTCGTCACCGACCGCCGGGGGAACGTCTATACCATTCAAGATGGTCGGGGATCGAAAGTAGTGAATGGGACGCAGCTTCGCAAGTGGCATGATACACCCGAAGAGCGGCCGAGTAGACCCGCTGCCGAAGCCGACCTGACGGAGGTAAATGAAAATCGATGGCATGCGAACGAGCTTTAAGGGGTGGAGGTGTGTAACGGTGATACTACTGATCGGGAGGCACGCGAGTAGTATGTGTTGTTCGTAGAATTTCGCTTTGCGTCGATTGAAAAATGGAATTCTGTTGCGGAATTCGCGGGGCCACTTTGTAACATTTGCTTTTATTTGACCGACGAATGATTGGAGGCAATGAATCTCCAGGAAGACTCGTTCGGGAGAAGATCTGTGTCCAGTTTTTGTAACTAAGAGTTTTGCTTCCTGGTTCAATGGTCTGTAACCGGTCAGTTGGCATTTCCGAATAAATAACTCAGCGGTGAAGGCCTTCTTCCTTTCACCGTCAAATGCCATGCGGTTTGTTATCATCGTCACAGTATTTTTAGCGTAGACCTGGGTGCGGTTTCATGGTGGACCCCTATCAGCCTTCATATTTGGCTTTTGGAAAATGAATTGATCCCGGCCAATACTCCAGTATTTTTGCGTAGGAAGTCGCGGTTTCAACTGAATACCTTCCATTAAATGTAATTACTAGCTTATGTGAAAAGGGATGTCTGCGTTTTAAGCAAATCATCGGACTTTGAAGATTCCAACCATGAAGCTTATATGGCGCCATGTGGATCTGAAATATTGCGTCCGATAACATACTTTTGACGCCCATCTGGGTTCGTTAGCAGCACGCCTGCCTAGTAATGCACGGGTACCACAACGCTTCGGATTTGGTGAATTAACACAAAAATGTTTCACAAGAGAGTTTACTCCATCATCCAGACTGAAGATGAAGGATGATGAGATATTGTACAGATCCCTGGCCGGCAAAGCTGACTGTTTACGGGAAGCGCGTTTCAGAGAATCAGCATCATCAAAGACAGCAACATCAGTATATATATGTATATATATATATTAAAAGCGCTAGAGTGAAAAGAGAAAAAGTGTGGGTGGGGGAAGGAACCTAGTGCTCGCCTATGTCAAGCATCCTGAGGAATAAAGTAACAGGACCTTCATTTGTTACTCTCCTTTTACATAAGTCCAGTTTAATACGGGGCTTTTTCAAGACGACCCTTGCCGAGGATGATTCTATGGTGAGGGTAGACTGTATAGACATCAAATGAAGTTCCCGTTACGTCATCTAGCAAGACTCCTTCACTGTACATCTTAACCATTTTACGGTCCATCCCATCTTCGTTCAATTCGTGTTAGGACATGATTTCTCTCTGTATCACGAGTTTTGGTTTTTCATCACCGAAAAGAAATCAATGCAGGTCTGGCTGAGCAGCCTACACAAGGTGATGGTTTTTGGACCGACACTTCCCTCGCACTTGGCAGACTTTCGTTGTGTCCCGTAATTCATTTTAATTTTGTACTGTATAAAACGTGAACGAATCAGTACTGTCGTGCTCAAGAGTTTGTGGCTCCCGAGTCAAATTTCGTGTTAAATGTTCGATTATTAGCCCAGTTACTCTATCCGGTTAGAGCACATGTCCCTACAGTCACAGTTAGACTAGTGAGCGTAGATCAGCAGTAGTAGATGCATTTTGACAGCACCAGTATTCTTACTATGAAACATTTAGTCACATTAGAGCCTCACTTAAGTAATGGATTTTGATACGTTACTGGTACAACGAGAGCTCGAGGTAGCTCAGCAGTTAAGGCGCGAATTTACTGATCAGAAGGTCCGTGGTTCGAACCCAACCTCCGTATCTCGACTGTTCTTGTCCAGGCATGGACATCCTAGCAGTACTTCATGCCTCGTACTTCCTTCGGGTTGCATGGTATCTAGACAGTGAAACGATGTTAGAGCTGAAGGATTATTGCTGTCCTTATTACAGGTACAACGAGGGATACAAAAGGAAGAAAGCCCAGTGGGGACGAAGGGTGATGTTGGTGATATAACAAGCATACACTGAACAAAATTACCACAGCGGTCAACATCACCCGCAAGCAACAAGCCGGTCTTCCATATGTGGCTGATGATGTCTCCCTAGTGCCTCACAGTAAATAAAACTAAAGCAATGTTGAAGTGTTGGCAGCTCGCGTGCATTTATTAGTTGTGTTCAAGCTCGGTGAACGGATCGACACCCATCTGGCACTAGTGCAACTTCATCGTGTAATATGTGGCTGTAAAACTAAAAATCCAGCTGAAGTTACTGGCATTTCCACTGCCTGTTACCAACTTGCATATCAACTGCATTATCTTATGTCCTAACCCTGAAGTGTTTTGTCTGAATTTTAGCCCGTCCATTATTGTCCAATTTTCGACAATGTCCTCCTTCGAAGTGGTACACACTCATGAAATTCCGGCCTTTGTGGATAAAATAATAGTTTCCGGTCTCAATCGAACAGAGGAATCGTTGATCAAGAAACAGGTTTGTCCCAACCGTTTTTGGCCTCTATACTGTTCCCTATAGTTTCAGGCTTTGGTTCAGTCTACCAACGTCAAAGATCTTTTTGAGCGGGTGAGCGAGGCAAAGAAACGATTGGACAAGCTTGGCGTGTTCCGTTATGTCTACGCTTTGGTGGATGTCGCCGAGGAGCCCAGCAAATACAGGGTAAGTTACTGACTGAAATTCACTTAACAGCGCGATCACCTTTTTCTTGTCTGAGGTCTAATGAGCGCTTTGGCTCAGCCGGTTTTTTAAAATCCAGAATACTTTGTTTGTTGAGGAAGTAACCGTCTTCTAGGCGTACTTCACCAGCCAAGTTGTTAGGACTATGTCCATCTTTTCTATCATGATTTGGAAGTTCCTCATTCTACGACTGAACTTAATAGTAGGATGGTGTGTTCCATATATATATTATACTTTCAGTGCCTCTGAAATGGCTGTTGTTATCGTGGTTGACAGCAACGCCGATGGAAAACACTGGCGCTTCGCTCTCGCACCATCGTGTCCATTTATTTAAATAAAGCTCTATCATGAAAAAGAACTGGACAGTGAGGGGAAGCTGCTAAAGTCGTTAAGCATTTGCTGTATCTTTCAGTTTCTCCGGCCAAACACAGGGGGTCAAGTGGGCTCCATTCTGAAAGGTATACAGGAACCATACTTCCAAGAAAAAAATCCGCATCGTCTCTAAGTGATCGGCACAGAAAATAACGCTCTTTCCAGTAGACACAAATTCGGCGTCTGCAGAGTATATATTTTGGCGTTGGCTTCAGCCCTCAAGAACTCAGTACTTGTGACTTCATCAAGCAATCGTTTCCTTACCACCCCAATGTAAATTATTTGGTTCAAGCCGATTCCAGCTATAATTTTGAGATATCAGTGGTTGTTTACCTTGGGATGTCTCAATCCGCCCACTGCAGCCAAGTCTCACAGACTTACAACAATGCAGCTCACACTGTAGCCAGGTAATGAGAGACTCAGCGGAATCCTCGTCTCTGGTACTAATTTGCTGTGCTGCACTGAGGTTGCCTCATGTTTCAGTTGGAATGGTATTTGAGATATCGCAGTACATTTTTCACAAGTAGTATGTTCCGTCAAGAAAATGTGCTACGGCATCTCGGATATCGTATCGAAATATGAGACTGCCTTCGTGAAGCCCATTCAGTTGGAGATTATCATGAACGATAGATTCAGATGAGTCTCTGGTTAACCCCAACTCGATCAGTAGAATGGCTTTTCCCGAATCGCGCCACTTGTATCAAAAAGACATCTCTGGATCTCAACGGATGAGTGTATCGGACTCCAGTACCGCCTGTGTTGTTGTACAGCTATGCGTCTTGACCATTTCGGGCGGAGGATCTGAGATGTTTTCAGGTCTTTGACGACTGATCCTTCGAAACCGTCGCTGGAATCGGCTGGACCTGTCGAATTCGGAATGAGTTGATCAGGAGACGGGCTTTCAGTGAAGCGGACGGCACTTCACTCACGGAATGCATCCAGCACTGCGAGCTGGGTTGCACGGGCCGTGTGTTAAATATCTCGAGTTGTCGCCTGCTGAGACGAGCGCTGTTTTTCGTGCCTAATTCGGAGTGGCGGAAATCTAAATGTGGACGGAATTTAACATGACAGAATGGACTGGAGGATAGTGCGAAAGTTTTAGGTGCTGTTGGTGCTGTTCACCTTCCATGTTGGCATCCACATGAGCCTCCCTGTGCTTGACTGGGGACAGTGAACGATATGGCGGCTACTCGATGTCAGTGACGTTCATGCCCGAAGTAGCTACTCCGGTGGCGGTGCTAGAGGTAACTTCCGGTAACTATCATGCTACCTGAAATCGACCTAAAGCTGTTACCTTGTCGTGGTGGTCGGGCTTCTGTGCTGCAGTGATCCTGCGGGCCATGCTGGTTGGAACTCAGCTCCTAAAGGTTCAGCCATGCCAGAAAGGCCAATGGGGAGCACCCCGACCAAGAACAGCGAGTCCCCGTACTGCGAGCAATCGTATTACGAGGTGGTCTGGAGGTAAAGTCGTACTGTCCACTGCAATAGGAGTGTGAAGGCAGTAAGTCGTATCCCCCAGGTGTCCATATTTATGGAAACAGCGTCGCTGCCCTCCCTCGTTGGGGCCTCCCTTAATTCATAGCGATATTTCGGACAGATCACAGAGGACAACAGCAGTTCTGGTGAGCTTTTCGTGGTTTCTCGCATCCACCGACAGGTTAGGGGGTGGTGGGCTGTATAGAAAACACTTTGTACGTCCCTCCTGATCTGTTTGTCTGGTCAGGTCGTCCGTTCAATCAGCGCTGGAACAGTCATCCTCCGCTCTGTTTTCTGACTGCCTACAGTGTAAATCCGCTGGTTGAAAATAAAAGGTGGAGAAAAAATATCAGTTACAGTATTTGTCCGCAACTGGCATGTACTGACTTGGACAGCAACAGACACGTAGGCGAGGAGTCGACACAGCGATTAGTATGAAAAGGCTTGGAGATTTTCTTCGGACATTTCTAAATTTGTCCTGTACCGGATATTCTGCTCGCACTGCCCAGCGGTTGAGAGAGTGGAAGTCAGATTCACTCCATTCTTTTTTGAACGAAAACGCGCTAGATCACGGGTAGATGATCGGCTGTTTTGTTATTCTGCAAATACACGACATTTCGTGAATACATTTATTCGGCATTCACGTGACGCGGACTGTCCCGGAATTTTCCGTTTGCAAATATTGCGTCTAATTTTGGCCCATTTCGGTTGACCCGTGTGGGAAAGCAAGTCATTTACGCGATTTACAAATTTGAGCTCAAGAGGCATATCCAGAACCACCGCTTTTTTTGCTTGGGAAACCTAGTACTCTCTCAACTCTGGTGATGCCTTAGGCGCTATTGAGGGATCTTTCCAACTGAACGAAAACTCCTCGATATATATGTATATATATATATATATTAAAAACCCTAGAGTGAAAAGAAGAGAAAAAGGGTGGATGATGGAGGGGACCTAGTACTGGCCTATGTCAAGCATTCTGAAGTGCCTACACCTCCAGCCGCTCAATCAGACAATCTGGAAAGAAACTAGCAGCACCAACGCTACTGACGTCGATTAGCCACCATTTCTTGCAACGTTTCCATCCAAGCACAAATGGGGTCACGGGGACCCTATCCTGGAAGGCGTACAACACCAACACCCAAACTCTCGTCCACGCCCTTCTGTCAAGTCATGAGTTGTCCACCTCGCGGTTTGCGCCATCCTGAAGGAGGCACAGACAACAACGCTCGTCTCGGTATGCGTAGCACATGGCCGAGCCATCTCAGTCGGTGGTGCTGGATGTTTTCTCGGATGGAAGCACCTACAGCAGAACCGAGCACCCGTTTTCTAATCACCTCGTTACTAACCCGTGCTTGTACCAACGCAGTCTAAACTGCCGTTGACAGACAAACTGACGTGACGTTGGCGCCGTAGGTATCGAAGGTTGGCAAAAGCAGCACTGGTCTCCCCGATTCGAGAGGTAATCTCATTTCTAGCCAATCCACCGGAACTTATACAGCTGCCCAGGTAAACACATTTATCTACAACGTCGATGGGCTCGCCTGCAAGCATGAGGTTTGGGTTTGATCCCACCTAGTCCTGTAGCAGCACTTTACACTTTGAGGGTGTGGAGCGCATCCCTACTGCTTTACGGATCAGAGATGTGGCCTCTACGCGCAGAGAACATACGAAAGATGTCAGTGTTTGACCAGGTGGAAGAAGGAACTCTCCTGCGATAGATCGATTCCTCACGCTTCATACGCTACGCTTGTTGGAACATGTACTCCGCATGCTAGAAGATCATCTGCACCGCAAGACTCTTTTCGCCCAGCCCTGTCCTGAATGGAAGCGATCCACAGGTGGACAGTGTATGACATGGCAACGAAGTATGGAAAGTAAACTAAGTCCGGTCGGCAACTGCTACCTCCCTGGATGGGCCCCCAGGACTCAACTTATCAGTGGTTAATGACATTGGCGGGAGAGATGGCTCAAGTGGTTAAAGCGTGAGTTTACTGACAGTGGTCACTGGTCGGGTACGTGGTTCGAACCCGACCTCTGCCTCTTGACTTCCCCTGCATAGGCTTAAGCAACCTGGCAGTATCTCAGCCCTCATGCTTCCCCCGGGTTGTATGACTGCTAGGCACCGGATGGGTGTTGCAGCTGAACGATTCGTTTTATGTACTTTAATGACATAGGTGGGAATGGCCCAATCGCATGGTCTATGGCGCTAGTGGATCAAAGCTGTCGCCTTCAATTCATAGCTACCCACTTTATTAATGAACTGAACATGCCATCGTCTCTAAGGCTTGGTTGTATGCCCCACACTCTCCGGTGGTCGAAGCTGTATCAGCTGAAACCAATGTGCCTATGGTACATGGTTTACAGTTGATAAATTGATTGAACATAAAAGTGATCGTACTTTAGCACACTGAGCGATTCGGTGCCCCCCCCCGCCCACCCTAGCCTGAGGTGACCGAGTTCCCATGAGAGGCTTCGGTTTTGTCGTTGGGTTGAATGTTGTTTTTCGCTGCTATCTCAAGTTTGTTTTATACACGTTCGTATTATACTATATTGTGCCGTTTCTGTTTGTGATTTACTGTGTCCTGTAGTGTTCTGGTCATATGTATTTGATGTATCCAAAAGAGCTGCGTCAACACTCCGAACATTCCATAGTGGGTAGCTTGGATGCATCTCGCGAATAGTGCAAACCACCAGGTCAGCTGTTTTTCATACTCTACGGGCGCAACTGTCCGGTTGTACCTGTACGGCTGGACAACTATGGGCAACCAGTTCGGCACGTTGATGACTTCAGTACCGCCCCGGGGTCCTATTCTCTCTGATTTACACAGTGTCAGGAGCGTTCAGGTTGATGCATTTGAGGGGAAACACACTTGGCACTTTCCATTGTTCGCGAGTGTCCATTGGTGCAGTTCGATCTGACAGACAGAGTCGACAACGGATGCCATTAGGGTTTAAAAAATGTGTCATGGAGGCTTCCAATGCCATCAACTTGGAGTTCCCAGTTGAATAGGTGAGCAGGTTCACCCAGCTTTTTGCATCTCATAAGATCCGAAAGTCACCGTAGACCAAATGTTACCTGTGCTCAAGGTTGAGCGGCATCCATTATTTTTTAGTAATTCACAGGCCTGGCAGCATCCAGACCCCACAGAAACCAGTTATGACACGCCAATTATGCAGTAGCGTTCAATGCTCCGAACACCGTCGACTGGTGAATCTGTCGAACAAAGACCCAACTTTTCGGATACACATGCTATGCCCCTCCGATTCATTTTTTCTGTTCTCCGTGTTCACCAGAATTAGCGCGGTTTTCCTTTCTGCTACAACCACTCGTAGGTCATCTTTAAGGTGGAAGAGAAGCGCCCCGCGACAGGTCGTATTTCGCTAACTCACGGGACAGACGGCGTTAGCAAAATGTGCGGTTCCGTCCGACTTAATAATTTACTTCGAGGTGCCGAATTCGCGGACTTGGACTTGGAGGTGGGGAGCAACCAACTGACTACCAAGTAAGCGTTTCATCCGTTAGAATCCTGGTCTGTCACACTATTTTGCGCGTGGATATTGTTGTTTTATTTTCTAACGTTCTGGAGGCTAATTCGTGCTTGAAGCGACCTCTATGGTAGGTTGTATGTGCCGTGTTTCTAAGGTGGTTGCGGTGTTATCTTAATTTTAATGAAATCGATTGCTGAGAACAACATTCTGGATATCACTCGCTGGTGTTTTGAATGGCTCACTGTCAGAGTCCACTCCAATGGTGACCATCATCAATTGCTAAAAACACGCCACACTTGTGGTCAAGGAACTGAGAGGACATCCGCACATTCTAGGTGGCATCACAGGTAGCGATTCACCAACTAGATGTGCAGCATGGGTGCTAAACTGTCGCAAAGCCGAAATCACGCAAGAGGATGGACAGGTGGCTAGAACCAAAGTGATTCTCCGTCATTCGCTGAAATTTGTCAGTTGTGTTATTTTCGACTTCTCAGGATCTTACAACTACCGCATCAGCATTTATTTAGCATTTGTATTTACAAGATGTGCAAGAACCGAACTGTGAACATATTTCAAAGTTCATTCTGCAAGGCAGGGAAGCATATGTTCAGGTATTCGTTTAGACAACTTTCTCGCCGTCCCGCCCATCTAGTGAGTTCCACAGGGTCAGGCAATTCACTCTGCACACTGAGGCTGCCCGACTAGGTATTTTATCTTTCAGTCTTTATCTATACACCTGGAAGTCAGGTTACCGCAGGCTTGTCAGCGCAAATGTGCGTTTGAACATCCTAGCAGGCTCATGAGCAAGCATATAATTGACTTAATCGTAGATAGGCTGACCAGGACCGAGCCTGCGAAATCATCATCGTACACGGGGGTCGCAGTTATGAGCAATCGTGCGTCGCAAAAGGCTCTTGGCGTCCAATACAAAAGTACAAAAAGTACTCGGAATATAGTCGGAACTTTCTATCGCTGGTTGTGAATAGTTGAACAACGAAAGATATTATTTATGTTGCATGAAAGCATTCCTCTTTTATCACATTAACAGAACTATTCAAGGGGGCAAAAGTATATGAGCGTCGAAGCATTCGCTTTCTTTAATTGGTTGTTGAACAACTGTAGACTCTTCAAAGCAAGTACCTTCTTTTGATGCCAAATATCTCATCACTGGGACTGTTTCTCCATGATTGATATACTCTTGGTAACACAATCTCTGACGTGGAATGTTTGCGAAGTTTAGACTTACCAGACTGCTGGATCGTTAATTTTTCCATTTCATCCCAATGGTTTTCTTCGATTCTAGGGTTGCCACCCTTTCCAAACCACTGGAGCGTAATCCCTACGTGCGATTTAGCTTTGGTGGGACAGAAGGACACTGGGATCATTGGTGGGCCAGATTCTTGCGTCACGAACGGTCCGTTTTTTCGGATGTGGCCGTGGAAACCGCCTATGGGGTGCACAAGTTTCAGTGGGATGCTAATTGGAGAGAAGTTGAAGCCAGAGGTAACGGTTATCTGGTTACCTTTCGTACTTGAAGCAAGTTTAGATTCTTTCATAAGAACGTTCAAGCTCCATGTGTGTCAGTTCTCAAACAGCTGAAATGAATGCTTTGAGCCAATGTGTGAAGCTGTTACCGCCGCTTGACGTTCAGTTCATTCCACTACCACAAGAAACGGCTGTTAAGGATCTTTGCTCATATATTTTTTTATAGCGCATTGTATTTTGCCTCCCGACAACTGACTACAGATGTAAAAAGTGTTTGGAACGATACGTAGTTCCATGAAAAACACTATCCAATATCGAAGCCTACCTTGGAAGTATATCTCTAAGGGCCATCAACGCTCAAAGCAGTTCCACATCTGATCCACTGGATCGGAGCCAGTTTTCCATTGGCGCTAGACACCGTGAGATTTTTGCGTATGTCTACTGAGGTTACCGTCATCTATTGCTGACTTACGGAAAGTGGATTGATGAGGTCACTAAGCTTGATGGCGCAGAGCTTGAGGTGGCTCAGTGGCTATGACGCAAACTTACTAACCGGAAGGCCCGTGGTTGGAACTCGATTCCGACATTTAGACTGCTCCCCTCTAGGTGGCAGTATCCTAGCCGCCGTGCTCTCTTCGAGTGACTTGGCAGCTAGCTGTCGAACGCCTAACAACGTTTAGTTGTACCATAAAATTCGATTCGTTGGCAATAGGCAAATTTCACGATAAGCTGTTACGCGAGTTGTAAATAGACAATTGCCATGTACGGCTTTTCCTCTACCAGGCAATCTCCGGCAAGAAGTTTAGTAGATGCACTCAGTTGCACACGGACTCAGTTTCCCCTTGAGACACCTGAATCCCAGATGAATATCGTTTATAATGTTCTCAATCAACTGAATGTGCTGCATCAGGCCGTCTCATTATACTATATTCGAAACATCGCGATGTGTTGTATAGACGCAACATACTACTCATATGAGTAACTGCTCCTGCCGTAACATCCGTGAAAACCAAATGGGTATGTAAATGAGTGTATTTGTAGGAATAACAGTTCTGTGTGCCAACCCTCAAATATACGGATATATATATATATATATATATATATATATATATATATACTCGTATATTTCTGTAGCAAATGCTTAACAGTGTTATGAGTTGCCCGCAGTGTGGTCAGATGCCTAAGTGTAGTTGACCGACACTCCCTTCCTTTCGGAACCGTTACTTCTCTTTTCACAGACCCTTTTGGCCTCGTAATGTGCTACTCTCTTCCAGTGCCACACGTTTCCGTCACATCTGTTGATATCCTTTTTGTATCTGTCTTCTAGATAATACAACTCCGTGGGCAGTTCGGAAAGAGAGTGGAGCGGCGCTGAAAGTTGGTCTCAAACACACGTTTGAACACGACACTCGGTCTGACATGGTGTTTCCTGACTCTGGGTTTCTATTCCGGTTGTCCAAGGAATTAGCCACCATAAGTCCGGGCAGCCCAACTGGTCAAATGGCTCCAGACAAGGTGACAAGTCCCAGCGTGGCAAGGTAGTGTGTCTTTAGTCATTCATTTGTTACTTGTTCTGGAACGTTTTGTTGTTCGTGGCTATCACGCTACACGAACCATACGAGAGGCGCATGTTGCTTGCCCCCCGGACGATGTTCTACTTTTCGCATTGGTTTTGCTTGCTATTTTTTGTTTTCTGTGGCCTGCCATACAGCATATTCGATTGCAGCGGATTAATTTGTTTCTGGGCAGTTAGAATCGAATTTTTCAATCGAGATTTTATATCCAGCGAAACAGTTGCGTAGGTCTTCGGCCCTTCAATACAGACTGCCTTCAGTCACAGCATTCGCGTGACTTACTAAAACGGTGAACCCTTCATTACTATGGAGTTTCACTTACGTCGACAATCAATCGACTCCAAAACCAAAATCATTTGGACCAGTCACTAGTGGAAGAATCGCTCAACTCATCAGCCGTCCGTAAATACCGACGAAAAATCAAAATTGAAGCTACTTATCAAAATTTGCACACTGGTCCACCAGCGAAACGAACTTCGAACTACCCACCAGTAATCTTCATCGTCATCATTGCCACTGTTGACGCTTTGCTGCTGTGCAGTCATAATTTGTTTGAATGCTTTATTATTGTGAAGAAAAGAATAAGAGGGGGAACTCAGTGCTAGTCTACCACAATCATTCCGACGTGTCTACACTTCTAGACAGTGGATAGAAACTGACAGCAGGAACGCCACTGACATCTGTCAGCAGCGTCTCCAACTATGAACAAGGTGTATCATCGGAAAGCAACCTGAGCTGGGTAATATCCAATCTTTACGAATTTCCGTCCGTGACGGTAATAAAGTGCGCTGGTGCTGAGTTTACTCCATAAACTAGGCATTCACAAGGTTGTCTATTACGGCCTAAAAAGTGCTTTGGTGTTGACCTTATTCCATAAAGCTATACAGATGTGTACATCGAACGAATTCGTGAGGGAACATGAATTCCCGAAAGATGTACTACGGTTAACTAACTACCCAGACCGCTTCATCAAAAGGCATTTGGCTCCGACTGACAAACCGGCAGCGTCACCCACAGTACCCAGAGAGGACGTTTACACTGATACTCCTTACACTATTGATCATCCTTTCAGTCTATTCAAACGGACACTAAACGTATCCCTGCACTGGACTTACAATGCAGCACAGTTGTGTGCGGAAGCAAATACACGCTCTATGCCACTGAGAGCGATCGAAATGCCGACTTTCGTTGTGTCCACGACTCATTGCATTTACCAATTCGCTTGTAGTTTCGGCTACTGGTTTTCCTTGGGACTGACAGGGGTTTGAAATGTGAACAAAAGTGGACGAACCCAGAAACTGCGTATCAAGTCAGTTAACCTTGCCGCGACGCTGGTTGCATCCGGGGTCAAATCGTCAGTCGCTGAACATTTAATGGTCGCAGGTCATGGAGCTGAAGTCAACTCATTGTTCGGGCTATTGAAACATAGCAAGTGGCCACAGCAGTTGAAATTCCTTGAGTTCATATTGATTAATCGTTTTAAGCACACGGAAGAAGTTAAAGTTCACTCTAGAGTGTCTTGGTTTTATCGCTTGGTCACGTTATTTCTGAACAGTACAAATGCTGTCGGGTGAATTGTCTCATGTATTCTATACTGGTACAGGCAGAAGGGTGTGCGAAATTAATTCATCCCGCAACCTTGTTGTTCTTACTGGCTTGTTCAAACTCAGAGCTACACCTGTAATCAGATTGTAGGATAAACGTAAGTAGATTTTTTAATGGTTCTGTGGTTCGAGCGCGCATTCACTGACCGGAAGGTCCGTGGCTCGAACCCGATCTCTGCATCTTGACTTTCCCTGTCTAGGTTTGGGCAACCTAGTAGTATCCCAACCCTTCTGCCTCCTTCGGGTGGCATGGCAGCTAGGCACCGAAAGGCTGTTACAGCTAAACGATTATCTTGTTTCTATAATTTGATCCCGCAATTTCATCTACTGTCTTAGGATAGCGGGAATACTGTGCTACATATCCTGAATCTGATTTTCAGTTTGATGCTTTGGTACATTCATGCTGTGTTCCGTGATTTGTGTGGAAGCTGAAGCCTGTATATATCACCGTTTACAGTGAGGGAGAAACGTAGACGACAGGGTTCCACCAACCAAATGAGTCAACGTCTCTCATATTCAGGATCCGAAACGGTAATTTCACAAAGTCATGAATTCGGCTGCTGGGTATAGGCAGTTCAGTTCTGGCCTGGATCGAGCATACAAGTGTCGTTCTCACCGGTCGAATGCCATGCATGTAGCCCTCACGATTGAACTTGGAAAAATTTCATTCTTCAGTCAAAATTCCATCCAGTAAGTGAAGGTAGTCTATGCCGTAGAACCGACGAGCGGTGTACAGCTGTTCCATCCTTTTTTGACCATCAGCAGTGCGCACCCCATGAATCTCGGGTGGTTTAAAACTACAAACCCCCGACTAGTTGGTGCAGAATAAACCGTTCGACCACGGATATCTGATCGGCAGTGCGATTAGCTCGCGGTATTGCTATCCGACGGACAAAATCTCAGTATAAAATATCCCAAAATCTCCCCATGTTATCAAACACATTCGATTGTATCTTATCCGAATGGAAGCTTTGGGTTGCATCACGTTGTGAAGTGCTGTGACTTATCTCAAGCATTGCTGAATTACTGAACCAATTTGACAGTCAGATAATGGATATGAATGCGACGACCTTGAAGTTGTCTTCATCTTTTTGGTTCATCTACCGTGCTGAAAAAAATTTCCACACTTGGTACTACATGAAATTGTATTTTCTGAATCTGACGTTTCAACATGGGTGTCTATTTCGGAATTGAATGAAAGATTTCCCACTTTTCTAATTTTATCACTTCATAATCAGAGAAATGCGAATGTGTCTAGCTCAACAGAGCAATGGTATGTTAATTTAGGTACGTGACGAATTCGGAATACATACAGAGGGAGAGTCTCTTTCGATAGAGTAGAGAAGCGCAGGGCGTTCGAATGGCATCACACTCAACGAATCTTCTATGAAACTGAATCTCCTGTCACCCGAAGGCAGCGATAGAGCTGTATCATCATTTCTGATCACCTTGACTTGCATGTCGGCTGAGCTAGGCGTGAAAAGAATACAGCCACTACGCATGTACAGAAGAAATTAATCTCAGCCGGGTATTTCCGGTTGAGGTTGTCATCTTAGCCCATAGAGTGCGCCGAATCACACCACTGAGGCGTTGAATCGCGCACATTTAAACACTGGGATATCTAACATTGCCACTCGTTACTATGAATAGCAGGAGTGTGGTGTATTTGGATGGAACAACACAATGTTTTAAGGATCACCCCATCCAGCAGTGACTTCTGTTTCCTCTCATGAAAGTTTTAAACTGACGAATTTGCAATCTCGAGCGCCAACCGGTTAAGATCTCGCACTGTTGAGGTGACAGTTGGTCTATCAACAGTAGGCGGCAGGTCAGTAGATTATCGATGACACAAACGGGTCAATAGGTACTGAGGATCATCAGCCATATGTTGCGGGATCGGAAGAAATGCGATCCGTCCAAATGTACAATTTGTGTTTGGTCAGGGGGCGAGATGGTCCAAGTGGTTAGAGCGCGAATTTACTGACCGGAAGGCCCGTGGTTCGAACCCGACCTTTGCCTCTCGACTTCTCCTGTCGTGCTTCCTTCGGGTGGCATGGTAGTTAGGCACCGAAAAGGTGCTGCAGCTGAACGATTTCGATATAGGGTCAGAGCTTCGTTTTCGGGGCAAGCAAGTCAACAGATATTGATAGAGGCGGAATAAATGTAGGCTTTTGTTTCGGATCATTTTTTCGGCACATCACTGCTTTCAACCGTAGTCTTGATCAAACCAAGATGTAAATAGGTTTTAGTTCGATAACAAGTAGTGTATTGATGCTTAACCAGTGACTGCTTGGTTCAATTCATGTGATAGAACGTCAAGAAACTTGACTATTCGAGGACAGCGAGATGTTCTGGTAGGTCTAGTGTCCTCGCCGGTTATCATTCGACATGGTGATTGATTAACCGCGCGACGGCCGATAACGCGTGACTTCCGCAGGGGATATACCGTTGGTATTATTCAAGATACAGATTCCTGTAAGGTAAAAAGAAACAAACATGCTCCTGAACTCGGATGGTCAGCGGGCATTCACCGTTTCGATTCAGGCATTTTTCTTTCCATTCCTGTTGTGCATACATGGGCCTCCCGTTCATCACGTTTACCCATGTGCGTTACGGGTCTATCCAGTATCCAGTGTGTCCTCTCTTCGCCTTCACCCCTCGAATAAACCTGTGGTCGTCTTTACGACGAATAGTTTCCATGCCAAAGTAGGAAGTGCTGTTTCGGTCCAACCGGGGCTTGTTAATGCTGTTTGGGTTTCTTTTCTGAATAGCTATTGGGCTTTGGTCATTTCACACTATCTCCCCCCACTCACAGACCTTCCGACGATCGCGCATTTCAGCTCAAGGTTGAGGGACTCGCTCACAAACCCTTCCGGCTCACCGACTGGTTGGTCGGTGAGGTGACGTGTTCTGCGGGATTGACGCATTCGCTTAGTAGACATCCGGTATGTCACTCGCAACTTGTGTCTGTGTTCTTCCACACCGGTTTTTCTTTGTGCGGTAAGCTTGAAACAAAGTCTTTATGCTTTGTTGATCACTATCATGATTCTATGATCCGCGGGGTTCTCTTCCGTAATACTGAAAGGAATCTTGTATACCATGAAGACTGTGCATTAGTTCGTAGTCTGTCTTAGCTTGATCGAGGTCCGTCAGTGAAACTTGTTTGGCACTTTGTACTTTTGGTCCCTGGTTGCATTGGTGCCTGAAAGACAATCAGATTCCTTGAAATCAAGGCTTCATTAGCTCACACGGATGGACCGCCATTGGTTCGTCAACTGGGCTGAAATCCATAATTTTTTTCATTGTTGACTGGCAATACGAGAGAGTTATCCACCTGTGGCAAACGAAACATCACGTGAAACTTCCGACGTTTTCCCACAAGTGGCGTTATTTATATTAGCACGTGGGTCAGATGGAAAATTAGACGTGGCTCGCCATTTTGAGCTCTTTGGCTTGGATGCCGGTTCCTTGCTCGCTTACGCAGGACTATGAAATATTACTATTCTTCAAGCGATTTCAAAGCTTATCCATGGTTTAAACAGTAATATATATTCACTCCGTCGCTTCGTACTATCTTCCATTCTACCGATTCTTTTTTCCCACTGCTGCTTATGTCCGGTTGTTTCTTACACCGCTACTTCCATTTTAAGTGTGCGGGTTGTGCCTACACTCGTTCCTCTCTCTTTTTCTTTGTTTCCACTGCCATGTATCGTTTTCACCCTCATGCGTGTCAATGTGTTTTCATCCCAAGTGACCCCTCCTCAGCCCAACAGGGATACCTAAACCTGCCTACAGCCTACTGCGAACACCTTTGTAGTTGAACTCTATTCTCGGCGATTTCATTGTCCGCAAGTTGACATGGCTTAGCCATACTATCTCTACTGTGTTTGCTCTATCAATTCACAGATCCACATCGTTGATCGCTTTTTCTTGGGCGGACCTCTCGAACTGCGTGGTTTTCAATGGCGTACCGTTAGTCCTATGCAGCCATTACTTGAGCCCACTCCGTTCAACCTCCCAACGGCTGATGTCGTCAACGAGACGGTCGATACTACACAAACATCGACAGCGTCTCGTTCGCCAGTTGGATCTGACGGATTTTGGCTTACCGGTGCTCACTTCTACACTCCACTCCCTTTTTTCGGGGCTGAAGAAGGTTCTCTCGCCTCCCATTTCCGACTCCATGCCTTCTGTTTAGCAGGTAACTTTTTCCCCTCATGAGGAGTGTTTGCAAACTTTGTTGTCCCAAAAGTAACACTTTTCTCAAATTGATTTTTTCTTACGACTTAAAGTAACACTTTTCTCAAATTGATTTTTTTGCAACTCAGGTAGTACGTTGGACTCTCCAGTACAACGCGTTCTGGACAGCATTGCCGCATCAACATCAGACCAAACGTCTTTGGCGCGTCGCCTACTTACAGAATTAAGCAGTCAACCGCGAGCCGTTGTGGGCGGTGGATTAGTCATTCGTTTCGCTGGCCTTCTTAGGATAGAAATCAATTACTGTGTACCATTCAAGAGTCAGCCAGGAGATCTGCTCAAGTCGGGCTTCAACTTTGGTTTCGGCATAGCCTATTCGTGACCTTCGCACAGCGCCCCAACTTTTTTCCATGGCGATGAGACACCATCTGGTTTCTGCTTTCTGTACGATTGTAAGCCTTATGGCTTGATCTGAACGGACCATTCTATACCTGTTAAACCAATGTCCCCATGCAGATTGTCTTTCGTAGAAATACACTTCTCCTAGTTTCTTGACTTTGTAAAGTTGTTATGGTCAGTGGAGTTGATCTACTCAGTATTATACGGTTCAGGACATTATTTTTAAATTCTGGCTATACAGCAGCAAAGCATTATTGTTGGTCACTGATGATTTGTTGTGTGCCACTACTGGCTTGACTATCAAAAGCATCACTGCGCAGCGAGATGGTTAGAGCGCGAATTTACTGACCACAAGGTACGTGGTTCGAACTCGGCCTCCACCCATCGACTCCCCCTGTTCAGGCTTGGGCAAACTGGCCGGCTCTCATGCTTCTTTCTGGTGCCATGGCGGTTAAGTACGGAAAAAGTGCTACAGCTGAACGAGTTCCCTATTCACGCACCGTTCGGGTAAGTGCCAAAGTCAGATCACTGTGCCTGATGTACTGGAGAGCTTCATCCAGTCAGGATAATCTGATGACAGCAGTATCGTTCGTGTGGAAAGAAAGCATAGTTGATTCAACCGGTACATATGTAGTTTTTCTCTGCCAACTGTCTTTGTGGATTAATCCTAGAGGGCATTGTGATTTCGCCAGCGTTCACCATACTCTCAGTTTCATCGTCTGTTTACGAATTGACCCCTGGTTCCTTTGAATCAAGCTATATGAGTTGGATACTGCTGCATGGTGATGTTTTCATAGCTTCGGTAGGCCCTATTCACACTGTACAGAGGGAGCTACTCGTAACGCGTTATTTCCCTCTCAGGGGACATTCCGATTTTACTCAAAAATAAGCATGGTTGCAGTGAAAATACTCTAGCAAAATACACTATTTTGCAAGCCACTTTGGTGTTAATGGGAGACTGCACTGGGACTTCTCGTTTATGACATCTCCGTCCGAGACTGCTTCGTGTTCCAGTTGGCACCATACTCGACGTAGCGAAAACGCACTACTCGTAGAGCAACCCTATTAGTAAGTCAACAGTATGTCAACAGGTTATTTCTTCAGGACAACTGGGTAGTGTGGGGGGATTTGGGAATTTTCGTTTGGGATTTCGTTCCGTAAGTGGAGTCAATTTACTCCATGAAGCCAACAAGCCCTACAGCAGTTTCATCAGTATTGCACATCTCGAAACTATTAGCCTGCGGGCTAATAGTTTGAACTCTTGATCATTCTTCAACTTGCGAGAAATTGCAAAATACCTATCATTTTGTATGCGAAACAATCTTCGAGCATAAAATTTGCCAACTGAGCAATAATTGGTATTTGTGGTTCGGTTCTTGTTCTACTGTGTTTGAGAAAGAAGACAACCAATACTATTCTAGCAATTGATTTTGGATATCCAAAGTAACAACGTGGATGGGTGTCAGGAATCCCAACTACGCGATTGCCTCCGTCTTTTTTGGGACTCACCAGGTGATGACAAATTGTATACGTGATCTTTGAACAACAGTCTAAAACTGTAACCATCAAGCGATTCATTCACCGAACAGTCTGTCCAGCCGGAGTATTTTGTTAGGGTTTGTTTCGTGGTTGTTTCTGAAGTTATCTGACGGTTTATTGGTCATAAAGCTGCTTTTGATTATTCATACTTCCTCACGGACCGCCTGATAACTACCAAGCCATAGGCTTGAGATTTTACCGGATGTTTTGGGACGTGTGTATCAAGCTACAGTACGGGCTGTTTTGTTGTATGACTGTGAGACTTGGCCTATTCGAGCAGCGGAACCGAGACGTCTTCAGGTGTTCGACAATCGTTGTCTCAGAACCATAGTTCGTGTGGGTTGGTGTTGGCGTATCCGTAACGAGGCAGTTAGAAAGCGCTTTTCTATGCAACAAGGACTTCCATTGAAGGATGTGTTCAGCACCAGAAGCTGTGTTGTTTAGGACATGTGTTGCGTATGCCGAACCATCGTTTGCCGAGGGGAGTGCTGTTCCCATGCCCAATTCAGAGTGGCGGAAGTTGAGAGATGACCAACCTTTGACCCGGCAGAGGGTATGAAGGAGAGTACGTAACGTTTGGGTGCTATCGGTGCTGCTCGCCTTCCAGGATGGAGTTCGTGTGATCCTCACTGCGCCTGGCTGTAGACACTGCAAGATGTGACTGCCAACCGATGTCAGTGGCGATGTTGTTGACAGTTTCTATCCAGATTGCCTGAATGAGTGTCTGGAAGTTTAGGCACATCGAAATGATCCACATCTATTCTCTTCTTCCCAATAAGTTGTGAAGAAGATAAATCATGGTTGTAAGGCAGTCAAGCACCGGTGTTGAACACTGGTGTCATTCTATCGATGGTGACGTTGATCTTATCCTTAATTGGTAACTCGATTCTTGTTCATGAAGAACATCTGGGAAGTCCTGACTGACCGGCTAATCCATCGACATCACCAGGATGGGTACTAAGTCATCGTTCGAGGCGTCGGGGGGCAACCCACCACACCACTCGTACGTAAACATATTCCCCTGTTTAAGCGTCGATTAGTGGTCGCACTCTATTATTGCATGTCTAATGCGCGGAGTTCAAACCTGGTATGACCGAGGATATGTGCTGTCGATATGTTCCAACACGAGCGAAGCTTAACTCCTGTGTTTCTCCCCTTTGCTGTGGACTTATCAGAGTGATTACGCAAGAACACGAGGTATGTTCAAGCAGGTGTGATGTGAACGTGAATTATACAAATCCGGCAACCACCTACAGCAGGTGGTTTTTTGACGCGTATTTCATTCTCAGTAATGTCTATTTGTAGATTGTGGGGTTGCTTTGAGGTATGTGGTTTTCATTTTTGTGTCATTCTCGATACCCCGATCCAGAGTTTCTGCGGGAGATTCGGTCTCCTCGTTCCCTTTACGAAATTTCTTTCTGTTCCACAGGAATCGCAGAGGTTTGAGATGAGCAATGGAGATTATTCTTTGGGACGTTTCAGGCCTGCTCTTCAGTTTTTTATGGAAGTACGCCTGACATACTCATTACTGCTTGGATTTTTTCATAGTTTCAAAAAGAACACAGTGACTGAATAATTTTTAGGGATCTCGTCGCCAAGCCAGTTAAAGTAGGGGTAAATAATGAATTAGATGGCTGAGATTGGTTATTAAATTAGTAATCACGTAAACACGGAAGCGTGATTGCCAGCAGTGTACCCAATGTCGCATCCAGTTGTGGGCAGTGAGGTGTTCTACAGGTCCGTTGAGCTTTTATCGATACATGTCACATGACCAAGGTAAATTCATCACTCGTACGAATAGTTTTCGACTGTGTTGCACTGGATTTTGCAAGTGTATTGCGACTACTTCCGCTGTAGTCGAGCAGTGCCGTTGGATTGAAACTAGCAACCTATTAGGTACTCCTCAGGAACGACTCGTACAGACTGATTCCGTGACCAGTGTCAATGGTGTGAAGCGATCGGGCTTTTGGCTGAGCCGCTGAGTCCAAGGATGTTCCGGTATTCTCGTGCCATGCGTCAAAAATATTCCGCTAAACAGAAGCAGGAGAAAGAATGCAGGAACATATTATCGATGGAGACCGGCATGTTTTCTTTGAGGTGCTGGTTAAGGGGAGGATTGTTTGTGAACCAAGACCGCTTAGCTGCAGAAGGAAACTTGCACGTTGCAGAGACCGAAACAAGTGGCAATTGACTGTGTCTGTCATTAGTGTTTGCAACGGCCAGGGTTTGAGACTCCCGTGTTGTATTTTGACTTTTGCGCAGTCAAATGGACGATTCCATCCGCCTATGCAGTACCGGCAAAATATCCCCAAATTATCGCCAAAGATAGCTGAAGATATCGTGACGATGGAGTTGAGTTTCAGAGATTCTCGCTGATATCAAGTGAGAATCAATTATGAACTACCCACGCAATTTAAGTAGCTAAACGAATGAATTACGTGGATGAAGTATTCATTGCTCGTCCATGCCGGTTGTTATGGAGTTTTCCATATTTTAGGAGTTTGTAACGTGGTAAGCAATCGCAGTGACACACTGAGGGGACAGTTTTTGTTAGTGACATTTCTGGTATGTCCACCTTAATTGGCACAATGTCTGTTGAGTTTGCTAAGCCTCGAACATGTGCACATCTTTTCTATAGAGGAGAATGTCGGTAGCTCAGGTAGCGTAGATGGTCGTTGGCTTTTTCGCTGAGCTGGGCAATTTGATGTCACCAATCGAGGTGACATCATCAGTGCGTAGTTGTGCGTAGCGGTGGGTTAGTGGTTGTGCCTAGCTCAGCGAACAAGCCAACGACCATGTGCACATCTGTATCGTTGGATGTTAGTTCACAATCCGTCTTGCTCATTGAGCAGATGAAGTATAGAGTGGTTTCTCGTATGCACATATGCTTGGGTGTAGGCCGACATTTTAGCCATCCGTAGTGTTATCGAGGTCCATTATGGTGTGCTGCGGTGTCCTTGAATACATTTGCTATTATACGTATCTTGGAAGTTGTATTAGGTCTGATTGTATTGTGACAGATGAGGTTAATGCACGAATCCTCAAGGACCGCGTCACGTTTGCAAATTTGAGACACCTATGGCGTCAGAATGGTTTATCGGTGAATCTCAAGGGACGTGTGCATCAAGCTATAGTGCGGGCTGTTTTGTTGCATAGCTGTGAGACTTGGCCTGTTCGATTGTTCGACAATCGTTGTCACAGAACCATAGCTCGTGTGGGTTGGTGTTGGCGACTCCGTAACGAGACAGTTAGAAAGCGGTTTTTGGTTGTGCAACGGGTACTTCCATTGAAGAATGCGTCCAGCAATAGAAGCTGCGTTGGTTTGAACATGTGTTGCGTATGCCGAATCATCGTTTGCCGAAGAGAGTGCTGCTTTCGATGCAAATTCAGATTGGCGAAAGCAGAGAATTGGCCAATCCTTGATGTGGCAAGGGGGTATGAAAGAAATCACAAAACATTTGGGTACTGTCGGTTCTACCCGCCTTCCAGGATGGGGACCGCATGATCCTCACTGAGCCTGGTTGGGGACGCTGCAAGATGTGGCTGCCAACCGATGTCAGTGGCGTTCTTGTTGTCAGTTTCTATTCAGATTGCCTGAGT